AAATGACACTAAACTCAGGAGTTAAATCTTAAAAATACATTCAAGTACCTTAACTAATAACACAAATGTATCTTATTTGTGTATCACTCGGCTGTAGATCCTCCAATCATCTCTGAATTGGTGCTGACACTGTCCTTCCTTCTGGAGGGGGGCTACTTTTGTTCCCCATGGTCCCTGTGTGTGTTGTAAGTAGTCACCGCTCCAAGCTTGCTCCTGGGATGGGCTACAATCTCATGTTTAGTTTACTCATTTGTATTGAGGTTGTAGCCCATCACGGGAGTGAGCTTGGAGCGGTGGCTACTTTACAACACACACAGGGACCATGGGGAACACAAGTAGCCCCCCTCCAGAAGGAAGGACAGTGACAGCACCAATTCAGAGATGATTTGAGGATCTACAGCCGAGTGATACACAAATAAGATACATTTTTGTTAATAGTTAAAGGATTACTAAAGGATGTATTAAAGTAAACAATGCCTAGTACCTTTTTCAGTCCCCTGCCCCCCCCCTTACCTATCAGCGTCGCTTGTCACCACCGTGGGTCCCCACTGCGATCCCCCGTCCGAACCTCCTGGGGGAGGAGATTGAGGGCGAAGGAGCCAAGGCTTCTTATGCTGTCAATCAACCTCTGGTCTATGGACGCACTTAGCCACTTGCGGGCACGAGCACGCACTGGTGCCTCCAAAGCTGAGCTTAGCTGAGGGGGCATCCATGCAGGGGCGGGGGGAGAGCGCTATGGGGAGCCCCTAAAAAATTAGGAATTAAACATTTAAAATAAAAAAACACTAAACGATGAATTGAGATAAAAACACATGAAGCTTTAATATCACTTTAAAGTACTTAAATGCATTTTGAAGATTTAACTCCTGAGATTAGTGTCACTTTAATTTGATGAGTGTTAGAGGTTTTTGTCTGTGTGGTTTTGTAAATTTTGAGTATCGGATTTTGTAGCCTTTTCCATGCTGCGCACACTTTTAAGGCCTAATACACTGAAAGGCCAATTTTATCCCCACCTAAAATGGCCCCTTTCAATAGACACCTTGTAGACTGGCTAAATGTATTTGAAAGAGCTGAACGTTTGTGCATCAGTTTCATTGGGCTGTTTCTTTTTAAATAAATTAAAAAATATTTCAAAACATAAAAATAAGCAAAAAAACTCATAGAAGTGAACATTTCTCATGCGTTATCCTGACAGGGTTAACAAATACTTCCTGCTGGGCCCCTTGGGTACTTCAACAGCTGGTCCAAATGTACGGGTTCAGGATATTGTTAAAAAGTTATTTGTCTTGGGTGAGAGTAACAGATCTATCAGGAAGTTGTTGTAAAGCTTTAGGGAAGGGGTAGCTATGCTTCGGCCCTCCAGCGGTTGTGGAACTACAAGTCCCATGAGGCATCGCAAGACTCTGACAACAACAGGCATGACTCCCAGATGGGATTTGTAGTCTCAGCACAGCTGGAAGGCTGAACTTTGCTTGCCTCTGCTTTAGCGTGGTGTCTGCTAGCAGCATAATTTCTATAGGATTGATGTGATTGGTGTTACCATTATTTACTGTATAAGTTAGGATGAATATGTATTTGTCTCATACACAAACACATGTGACTGCTGTAGGGCTTCCTCTAGTTAATATAATTCTATTGTACACATTTCATATAATGTTCATATATTACTTTGTCATGTGTAGTTGTATCCTTAGTTTTTTTTTGTACAGTAGCGTGCTGAACGACAGTATTTAAATAAAGTTCCTGTACAGTTGTTTCTCCTCAATAAATCCCTTTGAATTGATTATGGACACAATACATGAAACAGATCCCTCCCATTCCTTTGTATGCTGCTGTCATCAACAATAGAGTTGCTTACTGTTCAATATTGGCGGCTGTTATAATACTTCAGAAACTCTCTCGGTGCAACAGGCAGCCATGGAGTGACAGGGAAAGTAATGTCCTTGACATCTGCTGTGATTTATACAGCAGTGTAATGCAAGCAATGGCTGCATGTCACTTATTATTTGAAGGCAAGATGACAGCTTTGAGAAATGGAGGGAAGAGACCCGCGATACGTAATCAATCTTTGCTCATAGTTTGATGGCTGGTATTTATTTCCTTGTCTATTGTACCCAAGTTCTATCTATGTACACAAATACACTGCTGTCTGTGCAATGGAAAGAGTAACCCGATTTGTATTGAGGTTAAAAAGTTCTATGTCCATGTGTGAGTTGTCGTTCTTAAAGGAGAACGATGAGGTGAGTGATTCTCACCTCATCCTCATAGTTAGAGTCGACCTGTGACAAAGAAGCTGTTACAGATCGGCTCTATCGATCGGGAAGTGAGCAGAAACATGCCGCCAATCCGCTCACTTCCCGATCGTCTCCCTGCAGTGAGCGGTGACTGTCAGTCACCGCTCACCACAGGGATTCCCCACCTCCCGTCTCCGATCCTCCAGCACTGTGTGGAGGAACGGACAGGGGAGGGGGAGGGCACAGCTGGCTCTGGCTCTAGATAGGCAGAGCCAGCTGTCACTCACACAGCTGGGTGGATCACGACAGTATTGTTGGTATCTGTCCCGGCTGCGGCTCTCTCAGTATATCGCGGGCAATAGCCCGCGATATACTGAGCTTTGGGTCACGGGAGGGGATTTGTATATGTCCTCCCGTAACCCTAAAGAGAACTATGGAGAAAAACACTTACCCCATAGTTCTCTTTTAAGGTGGACATTTACCCCCTTTCACTAAAAATCACATTAGCATGCAGCTCTGCACGCTGATATAAAATCATCTTACAATCATTAGTTAAACAATTTTCGCTTTTACGTACAATTACTGTTTTTCCACTTCCTGGTTATGTGAGGCACTGGTGATGTAGCCCCGGCCTCACCGATGCATCCTGGGAAGGTATCACCAGAACCTTCCTGGGAAATTGCATCTGTAAACTGCAAAATCTCGAAAGATCTCGGGGGAAAGGCGTTTCTTACCCCAAGATAATGTCCACTGTCACATGTTCCAAGAGGCAGACCCAGATTTTCAGAAAATAAAGGTA